GGGGCTCTGGCCCTTATTCGATTGTCACGAGGCTCAAGAATCCCACGCTAGCTATTAACAGCTCCCAAATCCCAAACCAGTCTTTGAGGGTCCTACACTGATCTCGGAGGGCCCTTCAGTGGCGGTCAAGCGCCCACATTGAACGCTGAGAACCCACATTGACCTCATTTGAGGGCCCTAAACCGGCCTCAAGGGCCCAGCCGGCGTCTGAGGGCCTCACACTGGCCTCTGGTGGCCTCATTTCTGTCTCTGGGGTCCCAAGACTACGCCTCTGGGGTCCAACGCCGGCCCATGCCGGTCTTTTAGGGCCCCACACTGACCTCTAAGGGTCCATGCTGGCCTGTAAGGACCCACCTGGGCCTCTGATGTGGGCCTCTGATGGGCCTCGACTTGGGCCTCTGATGGCCCAAGTCGGCATCTAAAGGTCTCATCCTGCCATATCTCCGAACACGCCGGCGATAGAGAGCTGAAGCTTGGCATACCTGACCTTTGAATCAAGCCGGATCTTTTGACACCAACCACATTTTCGGGTCAGATCAGGTCATTGACCCATGAGGTCATAAATGAACGTCTTCAGATGTCGCAACTTCGCAACGCCCTCACTGCCAGAGTAGATTTCACAGGGAAATGAACCTTGGAGGACCTAGTATCATTAGGAGTCTCACAACTTGTACATCTCGGATTTTTCCTCAAGGTCACATGAGGTCAGGTCATTTTCGTGACCTCACCATTAGGTATAAGTCAATGGGGATAAACTGAAAACTTTTTTTCTGGCGCCGGGAACGATCTACAACTATCTCAAGCACACCGAATCGTGATTTCATGCACTCCTTGCAAGGTTCGATGCGTCACTTTTGCAATGTTTACCTTGCGCGACGTCATTTATGAAGTTAAAAAGGTCATATTAGTTTTTCGTCAATAACTACCGATCAAATTGAGCTATCGAGTCGGGAAATTCACCAATGGACTCAGGAAGACCTGCCAAATCGAATGATATGCGACATGACCTCCTTCGACCAATTTCGTGACCTTGGGGCGCTGACCTGACCGTGACCCGAGGTCAACACCCTAAGTTTACCTCAACCAAACAAAAAGTATATCATTCGACGCGCCTGAGAGAGGCGAGCACGATGCTGGCAAAATCACGGCTCTGCGGCCGTTTTTGCGAAGTTATTTACCAAAAAACGGAACCGTGCATTGAGGCACTTGACCTGACCTCAGAGGTCACCGGTTGACCTAGGACCTTAAAATCGGGTATCGATCTCTGCGTCTCGTAACGGCGCACACGTTCGTTTTTTCCGCGACGCGCTAGCTCCACCTGGGGCGAAACAGCGAGGGGGTCGTACCCGCCCCCGCCCCCTCGGCCGGCGCGTATGTAGAAAACCTATAGGTCCGCGCCGTCGAGGGTTAAACTGGCCTCTGAGGGCCCAGACAGGCCTCTAAAAGTCCCCACCGGCCTCTGATAGTCAATCAGCACAGTTGCAGTGGTCGCTGATATAAGACCTCCTAAAAACGTTATAGGCCTGGCTGAGCCTAGCTGGGCCGTTCATGCTTATTTTTATAGGTATATTGAAAAGATTCGCTTTGCACGTTTCACGCTTGCTCGTAATGAAAAGTTGTTGGATGCCTCTGGCATTTGCATGGGTGCCAACGGCTGCGGAGGACAGGGGAACGCGTCCATCAGTTTGAGTTTATGGACGGGAGTCTCCCTGAAATTTTAACCAATTGTGTTTTTGTTTTTGTCTCGATTTTACCTCTGAGCATGTTTGCGAAAACAAAGTGGCCGAAATCCGAGGAGAAATCGGATTTTGGGGGTAGGTTAGGTTTTGGACCTCTGGGGCCTTGGCCCCCCCCCCCCCACTTTCGAAAACGTTCCTACGCCTATGAGTGATTCGGTATGTGAATATAAAGACGTGCAAATGATATGCGAATAAATTTGCAAGCTTTGTGCTTTCCAGCGATATTTGTGTTTTTTTACGTATGTTTTTAACTTACGGAGCTATTTACAAAACAAATATGTACACTTTTTGTGAGACACCCTGTAGTTCATGTGTGAGTTCGCTCCGTCTCTCGTACTCGTCCGCGCTCCGTCTGCACAAACGCACTCGCTCGTGTCTAGCCGCGTACTGTTTATTGGCGCAGTGACCGGTCAGATGCTCGCTACCGGCCTGCCACCTAGCGGACACACGCAGAGCTATTAGTTAACACTCTCACACCCCCACACCAGTTTCAATCTAAATATATGAATAAACATTGAGACAATCAAATCACCAGAGCGGTGAACAACGAAAAAATAAATACAGAAAATAAAAGACGATTAGTCCAAAATAGACGGAACTCAATGGACAGTTCAAAGCGGCACAGAAAGTGCCTAACACCAGAACACCGCAATGATAGAACCAAACACCTCACTCCCTGGGTAATAACTCAAGTTGCTGAGAACATTCACCTTACACAGTCATGAAATATTCGCAAACTAACGACAGAGTCGGGGAATATTTCACATTTCCTCGATGAGTCTGCGCGTCTGTTTCTTTATTCTCGTCGATCGCCTCAGTGGCTGCTGCTGCTGCTGTTGCCGCCGCTCAGTCTGTGCAGGTTTCAGACTCGTCTGCTGCTGCTGCTGCTGCTGCTGCCGTCGTAGCTGCTGCGCAGCCTGTGCAGGTTTCAGTCTCGTCTGCTCCTCTTCCACCGCCGGGGAGCTGACTGCGTGCGGTTCCGAGTAAGCGTATCGCTGGCGAAGGAACCTGCGGTTCCTGGTGAGGACACGTCCGCTGGGGAGCCGGATGAAGTACCTCCGCCTCCTGCCGTCAACTTCAGTAATCACTCCGGAGCGGTCCCAGCGTTTGTTGACGTGGTTCTGCACCATCACCTGGCTGCCGACGCGCAGGACAGGCAGATTTCTGGCGTGCTGATTGTAGCGCCGCTCTGAGTCGTCCTTCAGATCGGCGGCAGCTGTGTCAGCTTCATCAGCCGATCTTTGCCAGCGAGGATCGAAGACACGTCGGTGAGCCGGCAGAGTGTCTCGGACTGGTCGGCCGAACACTATCTGAGCCGGACTCCTGCCGCCCGGTCCCGGTGTGTTTCTCTGCTGCAGTACGCCGCGGGTCCACGCGTCGATGTCCAATCCACCAGGCGACTTCCAACACCTGCGAATCAGCTTGCTTGCGGCCTTGACCCCAGCTTCTGCTCGTCCATTTGACTGAGGGTAATGCGGCGATGAGATGACGTGCTCCACTTTCCACTGCTCCATGAACTGCTTGAAGGCCCTAGACGTATACTGTGGGCCACCGTCACTGAAGATTGTCTCGGGTGCTCCCACCGTGCAGAATATACTTTTTAGCTCTGCGATCACCCGAGCTGATTTCATCGTTCTTCCCAGGTGCCGTGAGAACTGCCACCCCGAGAACGGATCCACCGCCACCATGAAGTACTGACCCGCGTGCTGGAAGAGGTCTGTACATAGGTGCTGGAACGGACGTGAAGGAGGACTCCTCCTGAGGTAGGGTTCCTTGGGGAGTGACGGCAGCTCCGCTTGACATGCCGCACATCTTCTCGTAATATTTTCTATATCATTATCTAGGCCGGGCCAGTACACGGCCTGGCGCGCTCGACTTTTCGTTTTTTCTTTCCCCATGTGTGATGCGTGTAACTCAGTGAGAACTGCTGCTCGCATCGGTCTTGGTATGACTAGCCGACATCCACACAGAACAACACCGTCTTCCACCGTCAGCCGATCGTGCACTGCCCAGTACGGTCGGATGACTTCCGGGAGGTCCGTCTTACTCGCCGGAAAGCCAGTGAGGACCGTCTGGATCAGCTGCCTGGCCTCTTCATCGTGGTCGGCCGCGCGCCGCACGTCATCCAGACGAATGTCTGACTGTGCTTCTTCCAGAGCGCTGCATACCACTGCGTTGATGCTGGCTACCGTGTCGTCTTCAGCCAGCTCGTCTTCAGCCGTCGGAGAGTCGACAGGTGATCTCGACAGGGCGTCAGCTGCCTGGTGCTCCTTCCCCTTCGTCCAGCTTGCCGTGAAGTTGTACATGCTGATACGCCCTCGAAGGCGTTGTAGTCTCGAATTTTCAATCTCGTCCATGTTCTTGGAGTTCAATATGCTGATCAATGGACGGTGGTCAACCAGGATGTCGAAGTGCTGCATTCCACTCAGAAAGAGTCGACACTTGCGGCTGACTGCCCACGCCACTGCCAAGAGCTCCAGCTCAATTGTGGCATATCGCGTTTCAGCATCCGTCAGTGACCGTGACCCAGCCTGGATCACGCACCACTCTCCGTTCTGCTGCTTCTGTTGAAGGATGAATCCCAGGCTCCTTGTCGATGATAGCGCCAGTCGAGCTGCTTCGAACGCTGACTGGTGGCAGTTGTCCCAACAGAAGCTTCGCTTGGTGCTCAGTAGGTGGCGCAGTGGCTCCAGATGATGCGTCACTTCTTCCGAGAAGGGCGCGACTTGATTAACGAGTCCGAAGAAACTCCTCAGGTCCGTCACGTTCTGTGGCTCAGGGAAGGCGGCGATGGCTCGTAGCAGCTCTGGGTCCGGCCTGTAACCACCATGTGTCACCAAGAAGCCTGCGAAGCGCACCTCCGGTAGCATGTGCTGCGCTTTCTTCACGTTCAGCGTCACACCGCGCGCGCGACACCTCTCCAGGAAGAGCCGGACACGGTCCTCCAGCTCTTCTTTGGTGGCACCACAGATTAAAACGTCGTCGACGATGCGCTGAATGCCTGGGATGTCTCTGAAGCACTCGTCCATCCTCCGGTTGAAGAATTCGGAGATCGAGCTGATTCCGAATGGAGCCCTCGTCCACATGAAACGCCCGAAGGGCGTTATAAATGTGGTCAGTGGCTGGCTCTCTTCTTCCAGCGGACACTGGTGATACCCCTTGGAGGCGTCGAAGACGCTGAACCATCTCGCAGAGTCGACGATCGACGCCACACACTCTGCCGGGGTGTTAGACTGGTACAGTTCTCTGCGCACAGATTTGTTGAGCTTCGTGAAATCGACGCACATGCGGATGCCTCCGTCCTTTTTGGGAGCCACGACAATTGGTGCACAAAACTCTGTCGGTGTCGTCACTGGTATAATCATACCATCCTTCTCCAGTTTATCCAGTTCCTTCTTCAGGGGCTCCCTGAGAGCGAACGGAATGCGCCGAGGAGCATGAACAGCGTACGGTTGAGCGTCTTCCTTCAGAACAATCTTGTATTTCTCTCCTGGGATGATGTTGATCTTCTCGCTGAATACGTCGTTGTACTCGCGGAGCAATGCCGCCCACTGCTCCGTCGGTGCGCTGGTCGGCGCCGCCCGCTGCTCAGCTGGCCCTGGTGCTCCGGACCGCGCCGCCCGCTGCTCCGCTGGCCCTGGGGCGCCGGTCCGCGCTGCCCGCTGCTCCGCTGGCGCGCCGAGCGCCGCCGTCTGCCGCTCGGATAGCAGGCCGAGCGCCGCCGTCTGCCTCTCCACCGGCGAGCCGAGCGCCGCCGTCTGCCGCTCCACCGGCGGGCCGAGCGCCGCCGTCTGCCGCTCCACCGGCGGGCCGAACGCCGCCGTCTGCCGCTCCACCGGCGGGCCGAACGCCACCGTCTGCCGCTCGGATAGCGGGCCGAGCGCCGCCGTCTGCCGCTCCACCGGCGGGCCGAGCGCCGCCGTCTGCCGCTCGGCTGGCCGTGTGATTGTCCGCCGCGCCGATACCGCTGCCGTGATGCCTGAGGAATGTTCCACTTCTGTTCGGGGTAGTCCTCTGGAATGATGCCGAGGCGCTGCGTCGTCTTCCACGACAGGATCAGACGCTTGACTCCAGGAATGATGTGGACCTGCTCGTTGACTTCGATGTCTCCCATCCTGATTGTGACCTCCACCTTGCCTATGGAGTCACAGGATCGCCCGTCGACCACCATCGGACGCACTGTTGAAGGTGTCATGCGACCACGGCCGAACATCTCTGCAAACTCAGGGCCGGCCAGGCTGATGTCGGCTCCAGTGTCTGGAAGAGCTCGCAACTTCCCGCGCCTGGTACCGAACACGTCCACTGCAACCGTCGGCGCCGATCTGTGCTGAACACCGTTCACCGTCACCATATTCAGCTGAGTACAGTCGTCTTCATAGGCGCTCTCACCGACGGATACCGCATTGGCCCTTCTCGGCCCCAGTCTCCTGTCGCACATACGGCCCCAATGGCCGTATTCACCGCAGCGAAAACACTCGCTGTCAATGGCGGGGCAGCTGTTCTCTCCCCGGCATCGCCCGCGGCCGCAGCGGCGACAGGCCTCGCCCGGGCGATCACGTGACTGCCGGTCGGCAGCGGGCCGGGCCGCACGGGGAGGGGCGGGCTGTGCCCGACGCCGGTCCACCGGCCCAGTCCAAACGCGGTCAGTGACGTCACGGTCCGGCCGCCGACCTCGACCGACCGTGCCCGCGGGCGGCACCACCGACCAGCCACGCCGCGCAGCCGCCACGCCCGGGCCAACGCTGCCGTCCGCGATCTGAAGGGCGTCGCGCGCCGCACACTCCTCTGACCGACAAATGTTTATCGCCTCGTCCAGAGTCAGACTTTGGATGGCACACAAACGCCTGATGACATCCGCATCACGGATACCCACTACAATTCGATCGCGAATAAGGCTGTCTCTGCACCGATCACAATATCCACAGTCCCTGCTCAAGTCTCTGAGACACGTCACATAGTCGTCGAATGTCTCGCCGTCCTGTTGGATTCTCAGGTTGAATGCTCGCCTTTGCATCACCTGGCTGACTTGTCCTATAGCGTGTCGCTCCAGATTCTCGATGATTTTGCTGACGTTCTCGCCGTCTGACCTTGACAGCCCCATATTCTCGACGATATGGACGGTGTCGTCCGAGAGGCAGGATCGCAGCATCGCCAACTGCACCGCCTTGGGCTGTGCGGTCAGGCCAGAAAGTGTGACGAAGTCGGTCCATCGCGTTTTCCACGTCTTGAAGGCGGCTCCTCTGTCCACAGAGAGGTCGAGTTTATCAGGTTGTGTTAATCGACTTAACCACTGCGCTGGTAAGGCAACCACAGCGCCGTGCTCACTCTCATCGTCACTAGCGGCCGGGCCCCCGCCGGGGTTCTCGTCAGGCTGCGCCATGTGTGAGTTCGCTCCGTCTCTCGTACTCGTCCGCGCTCCGTCTGCACAAACGCACTCGCTCGTGTCTAGCCGCGTACTGTTTATTGGCGCAGTGACCGGTCAGATGCTCGCTACCGGCCTGCCACCTAGCGGACACACGCAGAGCTATTAGTTAACACTCTCACAGTTCACAGTTCACTTCCACGAAATAAGATTTTTTTTTGCAATGGATTTATCATTTTTTGTGTTTAAAGTGATCAGCAAAGAAAATAAAGGCTTTTATAAATAAAAATATTGCCTATATTTTAATATATGTAGTGAGGCTGAGGTACTGCATTCCGGGCATTTCTTCATTAGGACACTCTTTTCGAAACGAGAAATGGAATATCTTGCCTAGGGTGATCGTTGGGCCGTAAAAGCTTCTGATTTAGTGCTGGTCTCAGCTCAAGCTACAAAACTACTATTCCAGTTCAAAACCCCATGTTAAAAGTGAACTATTTGCTTCAAGGTAAGTGACTATTTTATCGCGTGGCTGATGAAGCCTGCGGCGAATGCCCCTAATTCTTACCAAATCTGCACCTTATCTCTTTGATAACAAATATCTTCATACAATGAAATTGTTTCAGTGTTTTAATCGATGATACTGTCTGATGATATGACAAGGTAGGTATATTAGCAATTAGTGCAACCATAGCTGATAGCTACTAAGAAATAGGTACACTGAACCTAATTTCACCAAATCTGCAACTAATCTACACTAGATGTGAACCAGATGGCCGTCGTGAAAACTGCTATTGTATCTCTTAGTCCGAGGCTATTTATCCGTGGAAGTGCATGTAAGTAGGTATAACGTTCTATTCATTACCTGTAAAATCCTTTTTAATCAATTTGAAGGGTCAAAATCTGAAATCTGTAAGATCGATACCCCAGTTAATCGAGGACAGAGGTCAGTATTCAGCAACTCCCTCCGAGTGGCTCTCCGAGTCTACACCCGGTCCGAGTTGTTCCGCCCTTCCCCGTGCTCTCCATCGGTCTGCTCGGAGCTCTCGAGGGCACGGCTCGAGCAAACGATCTCGTCGGCGAAAACATCTTAAAGTCACGCTCGAGTGTCCACTCCCACAAACAGGAAAACAAGCACGCCACTGAGGAATAATTGAGTCCGTCCAGCCGCCGCCGAGATTGATCTGAATATCGGGCGTGCGCCGCCGCCAATATCGAGCGATTCTAGCACACACAAGTAGGGGGTCGCGGCGTTTCAGCGGACTCGGGACCCACAAGAGACCACGGCGCGGTCAGAGCCAGGGGCGTCGCCACGGATTTTTGAGTGGGGGGGGGGGGTCGGGTGACCGGTCTTCGTCTTGATGGGTAGGAGTGTTTAAAAGGTCTCTAACACATTTTCGACAACAACTTTTGATGGAGACGCTGTAGAGCGATGACAGCATCTGGAGTGTGTTCAGCTCAGCAACACAGATCGAGCCATATAGGTACAGCAGGTTCTTTTCCGGTCAGGACATGACTACGTCTGATGTCAAGTTTTCTAGTTGATTTTAAGTTCAAATTGTAAGCCATGCGTCGTCTTCGACGAAACAAACACGATGGTGATAACATGAATATCATACACATTCACTGAACCGTAGGTTGTTACAGAACAAATGTTTCGGCAAAATCCGTCCGTTTAGCTGTTTGGCCTCTGTGGTGCACAAGTCATAGACCCGAAGTCAAATCTGAGGCGAAGTTGGCGAAAGAACTTTAAAAAGCTATATAATACGCTTTCTGTGTCGCTGTAGCTCTTATTCGTGTTTTACGGGTCGCTAAGGTAAAACGTTTACCAACGTAACGCCAATGTATGCTTTCGGCCCCTGATCGAGGTAGAGCTTCGCGGAAAAGCGAGGATGCTGCCCGTGACAAGAGAAAGCCGATGATGCCCAATTTCAAGGTCTTGGCCGGGTCATCTTAGGTCAACGCCCAAAAGTAGGGAAAATCGGGACCCGCTAGAACTGTGTGAGCCGTAGCTGTTATCGGGGTCCCGAGTAGGTAAGTACGAGTTCGATCGGTTAATTTTGAACAAAGATGATGACTCCATGCATTTGGGGTAGATCGTGTCGGGTCAGGTCGACCAGCAGGCTTCCTGCCGGCCATCTAAAGTGAGTGACAACCACCACCGATAGCTTCGTAACATAACATCTAGAGTGAACCACCACTTATCAAAACTACTTCTTATGTTCAAACGGGCGCTATAACTCGAAATCAGCTCCAAAAACTACAGTTGTAACTTGTGTAAGTAGAAGCAAATAACACTTGAAAAAGTAAACCAAGGTCATCTACATTCAAATCAGGGTCAATATTTTTTTTAAGTAGGTGTAAAATTGATTAACTCGAGGTCCCTGGAAGTTTCGATGCAATAGGCTCCTTTTTGCGTGTCTTATTGGGAAAGCTCGAGAGGGGTCCACCATCTGACCCCATTCCCCCTATGCAGGCAGGTCCGATGGTAGCCAGGGCTGAGGCTAGTTAGGTACCTCGTAGTTACTGATCCGTCATCCGACGAATCGACTGCAACCATTATTTTGACAATCAGACGAACGCTTGGGTCAGTTTTGGCGCGCCCACTCCTTTGAGGGATAAAAAGGGACTAGAATAACTGCTACTTAAAAAATATTGTCATGCTGTTGTTCCACGCCCACAGCTTATTGACCTACAAGCAATATAGGGACTAGGGAGCTATTCTGAATCTCACGTATTTGTTGATGTTGCTGACGCCAACTTCACTGACATGATGGCTCAAAAAAGCATACTCAGCATCGCCAAAAGTGGGGGGGTCGACCCCCCCCCCCCCGGTTCTCAAAAGTGGGGGGTCGCGACCCCCGCGACCCCCCGTCGGCGACGCCCCTGGTCAGAGCACAGCCCTTGGTGATGCAAAGGTTCCTTGCACCCGTCGAGCATATCATGCCAATTCTTAACCCGCGCCCCGTAGGGGGGGGGGGCCGAAACGGCCCCCCCTGTCCTTTTCGGTCGATATCTCCTAAACGGCTAGAGATAACGCCACCAAACTTTCAGGACCCCTCCGGGCATCAATTTTACACATTGTGACCAAAAATTTACCAGAGGCTATGATAGGTTGGCCACAAATGACGCCAGAGTGACGTCATGTTCTGTCATTTTCGACCGAAAAAAGACCTTCGCGAGAAGACCTGTCAGGACTACAGCTTTGAAGATACAGAAAAATGATCAAGACATAAAAGGTGTAGAATTGACAGGGCTACAAAACTGCTATCTCGAATTTTTGAAATTTTTGAGTTTTGACCCCCAAAAATCAAAAAAACATTTTTTTTTGATATATGTATTAGCCGAAAAATTCAAAAAGTTTTTTGAGTTTCGAAAAAAAACGGAATATATGTGACAATGCCTACCGTCTTCTATCTACATACCAAATTTCAGATCGATACCTCGTTTTTTGGCCAAGTTATAGCGAAAAAACTGTTCAAAAATGATGACGTCAAATTTTCAAACTCAATTTTTGGCAATTCTAGAACTCGTAGAGCAAAACGAAGACCACCATTAGACTCCCCGTGACGAGCTGCATCGAATCGATACCCATTTTATGCAAAAATATCAACTTTGAAATTTGACCTAATTTGACCTGACCTTGACCTGACCTTCACAGAAACGTGACCTAGGCTGGCCCCAAAGGCTGCCTAACCCACATAATCGCATTTGTCATGTAAAATGGACCATAGAACATGTATCACACGACACATTCATATTGTGACCCCCGGTGACCTGACCTCGCTGTGACCTGACCTGGTATCAGTGACCTCAGATAGCAAAGTATGTGTTTGACGAACAATGTACCATCGATGGTTTTCAATAAATTACCAACTTACTCGCTTTCACAACACATTTCTTGAATTGCCTGTGAACGGTGAAAATCTGACCTTTGACCTGACCTGTGACGTCATCGGTTTGACCTAGGTCAATGAAATTCGGTCACAAGGTAGTTCCCGGGTGGGGCTATCGAACGCCGTTTGAATTTTGAAAATCGGCCGGTAACTTTCCGAGATCTTAGGGGGGGGCCGAAACGGCCCCCCCCCTACGGGTGGTAGGGTCCGCCGGTAGCCCTACGGGGCGCGGGTTAACCCGGCAGTTGCTGGGGTAGGGGAAGCCCGGCATAGTAAGCTCTTTTTGACTTTTATTACATACCATACGTGCTGTATAAAATGTTGATACCCTGCTAGCTAGCTAAGTTCATTGGCCGTGTTTTCCCAAAAATTCGGTTTCGTGGAATAAGTATAAGGTTGAGAAAATCGAGTTTTAAAAAAGTGTTGATTTTTCTGGGGTAAGCCAGGCATAGGGGTAACGCCGGCCACCTCCCCAGCGCTTTACAAAGAGTTGATGAAACCATTATGTGTTTTCCAAATATTAACGGAAAGTGAAATATTAAGGTACTGATTAGCTCTGGACATCTTAGAGTTTATGTCACTACTGGTATTTTAGCTAGCGTCTACTACATATACAGTACAGGTCGATGAAAATCGTGATGCAAAATTGACAAAAAAATGTGTATTTCAAAATTCCTTAAAATTTATTTTTCTTTTTACCTTAATGCATCATATTGCATATCATTCGACTCGGCTGATGAAGAAGAACACAATGACACCATTTTTGAAGCTCTAGCTTCATTGTCTGTCGCGTTATCTGCAAAAACGTAGTTTGACCCTAGTTGACCTTAAGTGGCATGACTGGCTTTGTCTATGATAACATGTTTATTTTCGAAATTTATTTTTGATCTAGGTGTAAACCAAACCTGCTCAGTATCTATTATCTCATGGAAAACAGTGGTTTAGTGGCATTGCTCTCGGTTGGGGGTAAGCTTGGCCACTCGCCCGGGGTTACCCCAATGTGCTAATTTTTATTTTAGAACAGCGATATTCGAAAAAATGTCATACTTAAGCCAGCCTGCCTCGTCACCCCTCACTACAAACACTTAAACGGTCCTTACATAACATTCGTATAGATATTAGTGCTGTATGGTATAACATTAACAGTGCAACATATCTCACTTTTTAGCTAAAAACCCTTAAAATATCATTTTTGCGCTATAACTTTAACAATATGCAATTTTTGTCGGCCTTAACTTTTTTGCTGGCGTTACCTTAGCTGCCACGCTGAAAGGACAAACAG